TACGCCCGGTGGACTTATCGTGGGTTTGTACCGAAGTCTTATGCAACACCGGTAACATTCCTCTATGTACGTGTAACATTACACTTCGCATAGATGTCTTGAGCTCCCAAAGCTGGGGGAACCCAGCCTGGTGTACCTGGGTAACAGCCACATGAGGCCAACCGATCGACAGGAGACAGTTATTATAACACAGATATAATTTCCAAATTTCGTCATAGGTGGGATTTGAACCTTAGATCTGTCACTTGAAAGATGACAACCCAACCACTACACTAGGATCACTATCCTCTCCAATTGATCTTTTTATTTAATTATATAAAAAACAATTTTATATATAATATATGTAATCAGTATATGTAATCAGTATACATAATTGGTATATGTAATTAATATACATAGTTTACTTATAATTGATAATTTGATTACTTAATAATATATAATAATTTATAAAAATATATAAGGGTTAAATTTTAGCTATTAATTATATAATTATTAAATTGCCTATTACTAAGATTGCACAAAGTTGATTTTTTATTTTGCATTATATGGTTTTCAAAATTTCAGTTAGCAGGCAGATTTTATTTTTTAATCTAAATTAATAAACTCATATTCACATCTAATTCATAAAGTTCATAAAGCCAGAGTCTTCTAATTTCTTAAAAAAGCATTTATTTGTCCAGATATTAAGTATTATAGCTGCAATTTCAGGTTTCTTTAATTTACCTTCAAATTAGTTAAATCTATAGTATTATAAAACTATGTATGACTCATGACCAATGATGACCAATCAAAACTAACCATATATATTTAATTATAATGCTAAAGATCAAGCTTACAAAATGTACTTTATTGGTATAAGTAAAATATTAAAAATTGAGGCACAATATCCTTCAGAATAGTAGCCATAATTGCAGTAAGTATTACTAATAGAATTAGTAATGCAGCACTGTAATTTCTATTTGCATAAAACAAGTTTTGAAGTTATACAACATAGCAGACTACCAAATAAGAAGAAATAGCTTAACATTAAATATATTGCTTATTCAAGTTGACATATAGTTAACAGATTTAGAGTTTCTATCTATTATCTGTTTATCTATTTATCTATTGGATATCCAGATCTGAATTTATTCAGATATCAATTTTACTATTGTCATCCAGAATAATTATCTGAATATTTGTCGGTTTATCCAGATATCAATAGTAAATAGATATCTGGATAAAATTCAGATATAAATAAATAGATAATAGATTTATTCAGATTGGAACTCTAAACAGATTGAAAAGATAGCTAAACAATGATGTAAACACCTACCAAGCACATAAGAAGTCAGGTATAATTTGGTAAAGATTAGCAGTACAAGAAAAGTTTAGATATGTTTTTGTATCAACTTTCAAATTTGGTAATCATAATTGCTAACCTCCAAACAAAATTCAATCAGACATAGCTAAGTATGGGAGTATACATTAATGCAAACACATATTAAGCAGAAAGAGTTCTATTTTTATAGCAACTACATACTTATTTTTTTTGTCAACCAGTCTGCTTTACACAGAAGAGAAACTACTAGACAATCTACACTATACAACTTTTGCCATATGCCCTATAAAAAAATCTCTGAGAACATTCTGAAATTATTTGATTTTTTGTTTAGAAAATTGACTTTATTTAAATCACTTTTAGACAACATTTTTTATAAGGCTATGGTGCATATATATGCATTTTTTTGAAATATAAATTTATTTAATATATGTTTTTTTAATAACTTCAATTTAGATACATGAGGCTGGATTCATTTCAATACATCACATGTGTATAGTGAAACTTGTATATAATTAGTAATTACATTATATTCTAAAATAGCAGTTAATTTAATTTTCAATTAAGCTTATTATTATATTATCATAAAAGTCTAGCTTTCTCAATTTTCTAATCAGTTACTGCATTTATGACCATTGTGCAACTTCATATAAATAAAAAGTTTATATTTGTTTTAGTATTTCTTTTTTATTTTTTGTTAATTTGAATATATAACACCTTAAACTGTGCAAACATAAATTAAAATCTATGCCAACTTGTTTATATATTATTACTTATATAAAATTCTTTAAACTTTACTAACACCATCTAACAAAATCTAAATGCCTTTTGTATTTATGCATATTAAAGCAGAGAGTGTAAAAGTGAACTGAAATGGTATTTCTATATCTAGAAATGTTACAGTAAAACAGTTTTATAATAATCTTATTGCAGGAAAAATTGGTTTTGAGATTTAATTAAATAATGAAAACTATTTGCTACCAGTTAAAGTAGAGTTTTCACACAACACAAATGGGTCTTTTAATGCTGTCAGTATAGAATATAACATGGTTGGAGCAATTGAAGCTTGGAGTAACAGAGTACAGTATTATCAAACAGATAGTTTGACATTATTATCTTCTGAAATACCAATTAATGCTTTTGAACAAATAATGAATAATGCTATTATCTTGAATTACCTACCAACTTTTACTATCTTTAAAAATTCAACCACACTAGAAAAATTAAAATATAACATTATTAAAGAATTTGTATAAATAATGGTAGTTGGAGCAAAGATTTTTTTTTTTTTTTTTTTTTAACCTTAAGCAGTTACACTAGTACTTTATTAAGATTCTTGAAACTATATACATATA